ATGTGTGGCTGAGGGCCATGGTTTAGTGGTGGCCTTGGCAGTGCTGGGTTAACGGCTGGACTCGATCTTAGGGGTCTTTTCCAACCTAAACGATTCTATGATTCTATGATTTGTGTGTCTACCTTGGTACTGTAAAAGCAGGGGTTCCCCAAAGTAACAGTTGGTGGGGGCTGGACGCAAAACAGCTCTGCAAAATACCTGCATCAGCCAGCCTTAAAAAAATATATTCAAACATACTCTACAAGTGTCTCAGCAAGCAGACACCATCCATTCCATGTGGTTTTCTTTTAAAAATCCAATTTTGTCAAAATCTGCAAATGAACCTTAGTTAAAAATGACCCCGCACGGGTCAGGCATCACCCAGCTCGCTGAAAGACTTACGTAGTCTTCAAACTTGGTGATCTCCTCCTCCAGGATGTCTGTCCCGACTTTGTCATCCTCCACCACACACTGGATTTGGAGCTTCTTAATACCATAGCCTACTGGGACCAGCTTGGAGGCTCCCCACACCAGCCCGTCCATGTGGATGGACCGGACACACTCCTCCATCTTCGCCATGTCAGTCTCATCGTCCCACTGGAAAAAACATCAAGTATAAACTTCAGTGTTTTCCTCGAGATCACCATTAGCCCCAAGACGCGGGACTTAAAATTCAACCCCACTCCTCTCAGTACATTTCAGCTGATCCAAGCTGCCCTTTCTTGGCTACTATTTTCACCAGAATTAGCCGATGGGTTAGCCAAGCTAAATCTGACTTTGCAGCCATGCTGCACAGCGTGGCGTTTCGGTTCTACCTACACGCACCGCAGATACAAGGGGGATTCTTCCTGCAGCAACACGACCGCTTTGGAGTGCTCACTTTCAAGTGACTTTTACCCAGGACATCTCTCGGAGCACTAGCCAGCCCAGAGTTTTTGTTCTACCATAACAGTTTGACAAAGAGAGGTTTATTCCCATTTTTAGGGCATTTATTATCTCTCTTTTCTTCAAAGAAAAAGGCTAGTCCTGGTGAGGGGAACCTCGGCTAAGAGCCCGCGCTTGGTGCGAGGAACAGGGCAGCAGCGCAAAGCCTTCAGATCCCAGCTGCAATATCCCACCTCACTCTGACCCCTCCTTTGGAAATCTGCAGGTCCGATCGTCACCAACCCGCTCGGATGCGCGAGCGAGGTGATTTACGGCCTCCTGCAGCACTCAGGAGCTCCCCCGCTTCAGTTACTCACTGGCTTCACATCCAGAAGGATAGAAGACTTGGCAATAAGACCCGGTTTCTTGGCCTTCTTCTCTGCGTACTGACGCAGTCTCTCCTCCCGGACTTTGGCAGCCTCTTGGTCTTCCTCTTCATCATCACTACCAAAAAGGTCGATGTCATCATCATCATCTTCCTCTGCGGCAGCTGGTTGAGCTTTTTTTGCCGGTGAAGCAGATGGGAGCTCCACTTTCTTGGAGGGAACGCTGAAGGGTTCCACTTTCTTCATTGGGGCGAAGAATTCAAGTTTGCATTAAGGAAAAAGGGGAGAAGATTAACCTGAAGTTGAATCAGAGCAGCACTCAGGAGAAGCTCAGGAACAGGAGTCTACATTACTCAAGGCAACGAACATGGCCCACACCACGTGATTTGTGTGAAAAATCAGCTATTGGCCATCAAAACAGGATATTCGACCAGTTGGACCTTTGAACTGGCCCAGCATGGCCGTACTTATATTCCTAGAGCAAAAACCACCAGGTAGCCAAGAGCTGATCCTTCTCCTAAGGGCTCAGGATAGCCAGACCGTAAGAGTCTGAGCGGGACAGCAGCTGGGAACGCAACCAAGCAGCTTCGCCTAGCTTGAGGAGGGGCCTACGCAGTCCACAGAGTAACTGCAGAGCCCACCAGCACCACTGGTAGCACATCTGCCACCCTACAACAAGACTCGATCAAATTGGTGCCACGCATTCAGCTCCCAGAGAGTTTTCTCTTAAATTAAATACATTCTTACAGGAGACATTTGTTAAAAAGAGTCACCAACTCAGCTGATCTATTCTACTAAAGTGGCATTTTACCTGGTGTGTGCTAAGAAACTCGCAGCACCGTGGGCTAAATGCTAATCGAGTATATATAAACTCCAAACCTCCACAGATCTGCACCAGCTCTCCCTAGCTGAAATCTCTAACGTAGCTTCTTTGCTGGTTTTAGGGCAGAACACTCCTCTCTACACACACTTTTTGGGAAAGATAATAGAATGCTTTGGGATGGAAGGGACATTTAAAGGCCATCTCATCCATCCCCCCTGCCATGGGCAGGGACATCTTCAACCAAATCAGGTTGCTCACAGCCCCGTCCAGCCTGGCCTTGAATGTTTGCAGGGATGGGGCCTCTACCACCTCTCTGGGCAACCTGGGCCAGTGTCTCACCACCCTCAGCGTAAAAACTTTCTTCCTTATATCTAGTCTGAATCTCCCCTCTTTCAGTTGAAAACCATCACCCCTTCTCCTGTCACTGCAGGCCCCACTAAAAAGTCTGTCCCCATCTTTCTTACCAGCCCCCTTTAAGCACTGACAGGCCACAAGAAGGTCTCCCCGCAGCCTTCTCTTCCCCAGGCTGCACAACCCCAACTCTCCCAGCCTTTCTCCATAGCAGAGGGGTTCCAGCCCTCGGACCATTTCCGTGGCCTCCTCTGGCCCCGCTCCAACAGGTCCATGTCTGTCTGGTGCTGGGGACCCGCGAGCTGGAGGCAGGGCTGCAGGGGGGTCTGAGGACATCAGAGCAGAGGGGCAGAATCCCCTCCCTCGCCCCGCTGCCCACGCTGCTCTGGATGCGGCCCAGGATACGCTTGGCTTTCTGGGCTGCGAGCGCACATTGCTGGCTCACGTCCCATTTTTCATCCCCCAGTACCCCCAGTCCTTCTCCTCAGGGCTGCTCTCCATCCCTTCATCTCCCAGCCTGTGCTGATACCAGGGATTGCCCCTACCCAGGTGCAGGACCTTGCACTTGATGTGTGGTGGTCATCATTCAAAGACGACAAGGCAGCTGCCAACACTGCTGGAAAACCTGCAGCAAACTCATCCTAACTATGAGCATCTCTTCACCTTCAGCCAGGAGAGGACAGAAATAACCCAGCACTTTGTGACTGTGAAGCATTCAGGAACAGCACTTTGCCAAGGCTCACCTGGGTTGGAGGAACCGGTGAGGGCTGGTGGGAGGTAGATGACTTTTCCAGAGCATTCAGGCGGCTTTCCAACTTGAAGATGGCCATCTGAAGGTCTGCAACAACTGCGAGAAGGGGGAGAAAAAAAAACCAAAAAACTTTATCTTATAGGATCTGCATCAGCTCTCAAGTCAGGACAAATTTACTTCTGCTCAAAGTGGGCTTTAAAAACACCAGTTGCCCCAGTCAGAGGGAAGCCTGCAAAGCTCTGATCAAGACACTGGCATGTGCTCACCTGGCAACAGACAAAGTCAGTAAGGGATACACCCCAGAGAAGCAGGACCCCAGCCAGTTTTGCTTTCGTGCCAAAAGATTCTCCTACTTACCACTGCGAAGGTTTTGATTTTCTACCTCCAGGTGAGAAATTCTGGAAAGGAGTTCATTTTGGTCACCAGCAGGCCCAGAAGAGGTTGTGCTTGCACTCTGCAACAAGGAAAACCGAGATGAAAAATCTGTTCACCTGCTCCCAAGCTCAGTGGTTCAGTGAAGCAAAGCAGAGTCATGCCTTCAGGGAAGAAGAAAATTTGAGAGCTAATCTAAGAACAAGGACATTTTCTCTAAAGGCTTTCTAAAAAGAATATACTAGCTCTACAGAATGAAGCATGGAACTTATCTTGAGAAATGGCAGCTGGCACTGATGAGCAAAGGATAAAGTCATTCTCCGCGGTCTCGGATCACAGACGGACACTAAACACACACAAAGTTTTCAAAAGTTTCATGCTACACCCCTTAAATGGGGCAACTGGTCTCCTCTTACAAAGGGAGGCACAGAAGCGACCTGCCTAACGTCCCACAGCGAGTCACTGCGAAAGCTGGAAAGAGATCCCGACGTTTCTATGCTCTCACCTTCCCCGGTCCAGCCTTTAATTCCTCTCAAAACAACTTAAACGTACTTTAACACATCCTGAGGGAGCAATTATACCGATCCAGCTTCAAAAGTATTTGTTTCAACAGCAAAAAAGAGCTGTCATTTCTTTTAAGGAGGCCCTTACCTATAAATTCAAATTGGCAAAGGGAAAGAAAATAACAGGCCTTCACACTTTAAGTGGCATTTATAACTGAATACAGCAATAGAGAAAATAATTTATACTCTTTCAAGTGGACCCTGCACGTAATTATAACGTGCTTCTCTGTTGCAGCTGACCTGCTTCCAAGATCTCAGCAGTCACTTAAGATGGAGAGAGGGGTTAAGATGAGGAATACATGGCACACGGAAAGCAGGTCTGGGAGATGCCAGGCCCTGGGAGACACATGGAGCAGTGCAAGCTGCTCCCAGCGGGAAGGTCAAAAGAGACCCTTCTCCACCCACCCCCCCCCCAAAAAAAAGAGGTCAAAAGCACCAGAAAAAATCAGTCTCCAACGCAGCCTTTGCAGTGGATGCAGGCTCAGGAACGCGAATGCAGATCCGCAGTCCCCAGACACCAAGCTGCGAGACCTAAACGCCCTGCTAAAGATCCTGTTACACAGAGTGAGCTCCGACCACCTGCCAAAGGACAAACGCTTCTCATCGTAAGGAAGAACTTGATCCACCTCTCCAAGAAAGGGCTGTCCTTGCCCTACAACGTCCTCGCAAATCACACAACCAGCTCCGTCCGTGCACAGGTGACTTACAGTTGAGCGGCCTGACTGCCTCTTGTGACGGGCAGAAGGAGCTTCTTTGCTACGAGGAACTGTCTTCTGCTGCAAAGGGCAAAAGGTTTGGGGGGCGTTTGGTTCAACACGGAAGATAGAAAAGGATTTCAGTCATGCTGGAAGATGCAGTCCAAGTGCAGGAAGCAGATCCACATGCAAGACAAATCGTCAAGCAACGAGATACAGCCTCACGCCAACTACACACCGAACAAAGCCCGCACAGAAACGTTTATCCACAAACTCTGCCATCTTCTTGTTAAACACCTCAGTGCCCGCAGCAAGGTCACGCAGCTGGGTGGCAGAACGGGATCGAGATGTCCAGAGCATGGGCTCCGCCATCTCCCCATCTGTAAAATCAGAGGTGAAGCAGGTGTGTGCACTACTGCGGCACGCACCGCGGTCTCTGCTCGCTCTCCTCTCTTCAGATAAAATCTAATACCTGACAGATGCAGAAGCACATGCAAAGTTAAAGACTCTTAACAAGTCCCCAGTTACCACTAAAGCATCTCTCCTAGGGAGGAGTAAAGCAACGCAACGCCAGTCTGCACTAACAACCTGATGAGACCCCTGCATGGGCTTCCATCCTCACGTGCACCACCAGAACGGAGGCTGCTAGCCACGGTGGGCTCATCACACCAGGCTAGCCCTAGCCTTACACAAAAATTAAACCTCAGATGAACTCGTTGCCTGACCTCTTCCTGTTCTAGTTACACCATCGGGGCCAAGGTCTAAAGTTAATTCAATGAAAAGTAAATTCTGGCAATAGTCACATCCATCCCCTCCCCTTGAAAAAGCACTTCTTGCTTTGACTCATGATCAAACACGGGCGCTGTGTCACCTGCAAAGAGATACACAGCTGGGTTTTTTCCCCCCAAAAGCAGCCTGCTGATTCAGCTAAGCAGCAAGCACCACAGATATTTGGCACTTTGAAGCCCCAGTCACGTTTTCCAGCCAAAGGATGAAGCGTTTCAGCAGGCTCTGCGTTTGCCCTGCCAACTGGCTGTCCTGCGCACAAGCGTGGATGTTCAAGACGCTGCAAGACGGCTACGGCTATTCGGTGCTGCGGAACAGCCCGCTTTTACACCCTGGCTCTCAGGTTTAGTGGAAACATTTTCCACAGAAGCCCGTCATGCCTCCACATTTCTTTCCTGTTAGTAATAAGCCCTCAAAAATGAGAAATCTAAATTGAGGCAGTTCCAGCTACCTTGATACTGATCTGCCATCCTGGAGCCTCACACGGAATAGCTCAGCGCTGCTCCTCCCTGTAGTCCCACAGGAAAAACATCTACAGCTTGGCAGGAGGCCTCCAGCTCAAGACAAACCTGTCAGCCTTGTGTGGTTGTGTCATTTAGGGGAAGAGTTGGAGAAAATCACGGCCGTTTTCCCCAAAACCACTGTAGCTGCAGCTTGCAAGAGCAAGGTGAGAGGACTCTGAAACACTCTCCTCTGCGTGAAGCTGTTCTCAACAAGGAAGAGCATGGAAAAACGACGTTTTGTTATTTCAACAGACCTTTTGAGTAGTACAAAATACTAGGATACAAACCTAGCTGTATATTGCCGTCAGGTGCTGTTTGTAAAGCTTTGTGTAGCACCCAGGGCACCGCGCAAAGCAGAGGTCTATGATGCACAAACTCCTTCCCTTTTCACCCTTCCTTTGCCAGCTTGCATCGAGCCCGCAGGTGAGACGACGTTAAGGTTGCAAGTAACAGATAATGAAGGCCAGAGGAGAGTCAGCATTCTTGGTGGGGCATTTAAGGATGCGCCTGCCCATCAGCATGCGGTAATACAGGTAGCACAGGCGCCGGAGGAGCTGCAGCAGATATCTGGGTGGCTCTGTGGGAAGCCGTCTCACCTCCGGGATTTCTCAGCTGTAAGTTGCTACTGAGGTCTCCGCAGAAATGGCAAGATCGATTAACAACCTGGATGCACCTACAGGTTAAACACCCACAAAATTGATGTGAGTAGTTCGGTGTTGTGCACCTGGACGAACGGATTCAGCATTTTGCATATGCTAAGCTAATCCTAAACCAGGATTCACTTGCTCCTCTGCGCTGTATTTTTCACGCCTGTTTCAAAGGGGGGTTTACAACGCGAAGGGGGCTCACAGACGCAGCATTTCAATCACCACCCTGTGGAATTCAGGCATTACTTGTTAGTCCTGGGCAACCCCAGGGCAGGGTGAGCCTGAGCACAGCCATCTCTTGCTGGTGAGAAGAGAGGGTTGCCTGCCCCGAGCTTGAGCAAACAAGAGATTAAAAGTCTTCACAAACCAGGCCAGCCATCCTTTGGGAACCTGTAACCTGTGTAAAGCACGGTAGAAGAGGCAAAATGCTGAACCAAGTTCCCAATTTTGGGAGGTGGTCAAGCCACACTTTCAGAAATTGTGGAAAAGTTGCCTTTAGGAGACTGTGGGCTTTCCTCCGAGGTGAGGATTTTTCAAGCTTTTAGTGATGGGGCCACCAACCTAAGCTACACCCTACCCAGAGCGTGTTTTTTCCTCTGCACAACCAAGCACTATTTCCTCTTCTGACTCAACTGTGCCAAGAGGAAGCTCGACACAAGTGTTTGTGAATTTTATCAAGGAGAGTAATTCAAAATCCCGAAGGTGGAGAGTTCCAGAGCATCACTTCAGCCACTTCCCACGCACCGTCTCATCGACGGAGCTCTTAAAACGTTTATTTTTTCTAAGCTTAAGCCATAGCTTTTGTGCTGAACTCACATTAGTGATACACTGACCAGTGCTGCAACCTATTCAAAATATTTTGCACAGCAGAAGCACTCAGCAAGCCTGGAACCACACCAAGGACAGTATACAAATTTAATCATCCAAGCAAATTAAAACCCTGGGACTTCTTGCTTATGAAGGGTAGAAAACAGAATCTAGCCTCAGCGGCCTTTCAACATCTGTACCTCTCTAAAGTTTGACTAAAACATACTTTGAAAGTCAGAGACACTGACTAACGAAGAAGAAAAAGTTGGCAAGGGTTACACTTCTCCGTATCAGCTGAAAAAAATCCGTCTGGACAACTACAGGTAAAATCTTTTCCCTTGGGATGTCAGGCCCAGCCAACGGACACAGCTGGAAAGCTGGCACTTCCCTCGCTACAAGAAGTATCCGGAGGTTATCAACCCTTTTCCCTTCATTTGAGTTAACCAGTTACAAAGAAGAGCACGCAGATTTTACAAGCGCGGTTACAGATGTGTAGGTTTTCTGGTCCAGAGCTCACAAAGCACTCATAGCTTCATACAAAAAAATAAACCTATTTTGCGCATGCAGAGGTACAACACCTTTCCCCTCAGGGGAGCTCTGGAAACCTAGAAAATTTAGCCGTGGTCTGATACACAAAACTGAACTGCGGGGAAATGATGCTGAAGAAGTAGAAGCAGCTTTCCCCCACTTCAGACCAGCAGGATGGATCCTGGCTGGTTTCTTACAGAAGGTGTGACCGTTCCCTGCACACAGATGCGCTTCTGAATGTGGTCTCCAAACACTTTAGCAAGATCAGACGTTTTTCTGGGAGTTTTTCTTATTTGAAACCCACACGCAGGAAATGCACAAATACGGAGGCTTTGTAAGGAGCAGCTTGGGCAGAGAGCGGAATAACAGAGCTTCAGATTCCCACACCGGCCACCTACCCAGTGACATCCCTTTCGTTACGGCCCCCGGGGAGGGTGTAGGAAGTGAGAGTTCAGTCACCCGCTCTGTTGGACTTGCTCATGATCTCAGGCAAGTCAATCCTTTCCGTGCCTCAGGTCCCCAGCTGTAAAATCTCTCACCACCTGCGGTCTCAACACCACCAGCTGCAGTACTGCACACGTTAACCACTTTATATCTAGGAAAGCATTAGCGATCGAGCAGACGTCAACCGGAAAGATTGTTTAGAGCAGAGATGACCATGCAAAGCGGGATGAAAGGTATGTGCAAACAAATGTTTCCAGCATCCGAGCTTTGTACCCTCCTTCGGGAGGTACAAACCACTGCCTCGACCCTTCTAATGCTCATTCACACATTTCAGAACACCACTATCCAGCTGAAGCAGATCTGAAAACGGCCTTGGCTGAATTTCACAGCAAAAGGAAGGCACTGATCTTCCATCTTCCCATCTTATACAAACCAAGTCTTCACTTGCTACATCTTCAGACACCTGACGATAACTCTGCATGTTCAGGTGGAAGGAAAGACTAAATCCTGACTACAAAAACACGCTTCGCTATTGTGCTGTAGATCAGACAGTATAAATTTGACTTTCTGAAACAAAAAACCAAAGTTTAAGCATGTTCTAAAGTCAAGCCTGCTCTATGGCACAGCTGTCCGAGACCAATGATGATCCTTCAGAAATGCAAGCTACAAAAGCTGATGTTTCAGACTCGTTTCTCAACAGCTCCGTCTTTTTAACTCACACGTTAGCACAGAAGAGCCAACCGTGGTTTATCGCTTCAGGTTCCAGGGCAATGTGTGGAAAAATTGAAAAGGTGAGCTCTCCGGGGCATCACATAAGCCAGGGTAAGGCATGATTCGTAAAACGGGACTACAAAACAGTAAGGAGGTCACTGCTGCCACGTGCTCTGCTTATCCAAGCAACCGCATCCTTTGAGAGCGGGATGGCAGCTATAGGTTAAATCACCACGGCGTGCCCCTGAGAGCAAGGCAGATCAGGGTGCACAATGCTTTCCCCAATAGTCATGCAGTAACACAATGCTTTTCCTTCAAGCCTTCACTGCAGTCTCAGTCCACTTTTTGCACCACCCCAGATTCCAGTTTTAAGGCCCTATGGCTCAGTCCTGACCTTAAATCCTCAAGCCCACCAAGCTTTCTTCACAGGAAGAAAAAAATCCAGCAGATGAATTTTTTCTATTCAGCACTAACGCCAACAAGTGTCACAGGGGTGCAAAGGACTTTATATTCTCACATTTCTGTTCTAGCTTTGGTCTGGTGCTTTCCCAGTTCTCCCAGTCTTCCCCGTGACAGGATCTGGACAATCCAAACTCACGTGCTTCTCACATAAAGAAGCTCTCTAACAGGAGTCACAGGCCAGGGCAAGAAACTCATCTTTGGCAAACCACAGACCATTCAGCAAGATGAGAATATGCCTTCAGGGTAGACCAGCAGCACCACCAGGTGATTTGTATTTGGGTTTCCTGCCCCTCCTCACCACATCCAGCCTCTGCTCCTGAAGGAGGCAGGTCCTGGAGGAAGAAGCTGATGCTAGAGACCTCACTCCGTTTCAAAATGTCTTTCCAAAGTCATTTTTAACACTGTGCAAAAAGTTCTCCATCCCTGTCTGGGACGGGGGCTATTTCTCCACATATTTGCCTTACTAAAGTCCAAACTAAAAGTCTTCGACAGGGGCTGATAGTCTCTACTGAGAGCCCAAACATGTTACTTCAGATCTGAACTTAAATGAGCCAGTTCAGGAAAATCTTCCCTAAGCTGTTGGCTGAAATCCTGATGCTGAAGGAAGAAACTAGCATCAGAAAACTTCCAAGTATTCTCCTCCTCAACATGTTTTGGTTTGTTTTTAGTATTACTAAGATGTCCCAACTTTCCATTGATTCCCACGCTGTATTCAGGACCACTGAATCTAACCAAAGCAAATTTAACTAAATTTGCCCTGCTCTTCCCACATCCACTTCCAAGTTTCCAGCGCAGTACGGAGTATCTTGGATTGCTCACGTGAGCGGTTGCAGAAGCTGCTTTTGTAGTGTCGACTTCAACAGGCCCAGTGAGACCGCCACGGGGAAAGCAATTAGCCAAACTCCTTCGCATTCACCCCAAATGTATGGCTCCTTTCTGCTTGTGGTAAGGAGGAATATGAAATATTCCCCTTGAGAAAGGCTCGATTCCCTGTGATTGTGCTGCTCTAGATAGAAACTGAGGGTGTTAAATACCCCAAGAGGGAGTTATGAGGCCAAATCAACACAGATAAAGGATGGATACCCTCAGATGGAAGGTATGCGCAGGTATGTAGTAGTCCCACTGCAGAGGTAAGAAATCAAGATACACGGGCTGTATTCCGTGAGTTTTCTTCACTCATGAAACCAGTCCACGTATTAGTTTAAGAACTCAGCTTCCTATTGAAAAATTAAGAGTTTTAACAGTGCTGTCTCTACATATCAGCACAAAAATACCTCCAGAAAGGAGGTGACTGAACTTCTACGGGATGGTCCAGACTCAGAGCTAGTAGCCAAGCTGAATTCCCTCGATGCAGCAGATGGAAGATACCATTTTTTTGCACATACCCTAACTGAAAGCAAAACAGGAAAGAGAAGGTGGCAGCCCAGTGTACCCCGAGAGAGACAGACATCCTCCTGCTGGCAGCTCAGTGCTTTGCTACTCAGCAAGGTTATTTGAACAGTGACTTGTTAGATAAGACTTGTGGGAACAAACTCTAGCATTCCACCAGCAGAAAAAGTAAAGAAATGCACAGCAGGAGACTTTCAACCCAAATCCAGTTAGTTTTAAAAAGCACTGCAGGCTAGCAAGCAGGTAAGCAGCATGCAGTCTAGTAGCAAGGGTGCTCTTGATCGGATGGAGCTATGCTGGTGGTACACAGCGCTGCACACCTTAGTCTTCTCCTCTAACTTCAAAATAAGAAGCCACACAATCTATGAAGTGGTCACAGCGAAGTTCTGTGAGATGCACCACAGCTAAAAATGGTTGCGGGTAGCCAGCTGGTGAGAGAGCTTGGGTACTCACTCCGGCCAGCGATTTCTGGATATTCTCCCTGGCTCTGGCAATGTCGCGTAGGATCGTGCTGGCTCCGTTCTCCTGCAAACAGTGCAGAAAGAACCAAGATTTTTTTTAAAAAATATGAAACATGGGAAACTGGTCAGGGAAGTTAAAAAAAAAAAAGAGAGGGTAAGAGTAGGGGAGGGTTCCTTCCAATGATTCAGCAAGTATTGCAAACTTAGCTGCAAGGAGGATTGGTTCTAAATCAAGCAGCACCGACTGCAATCCCTGGTCCCATCAGGCCCCGTGTCCAGAAGATCATCCAGTGAAGAGCTCTTAAATTCTTTATTATTACCCTGAACAGTTTGGACAGCTGCCAGCCAGGCAGAGGGCTGGAGTCACTTCAGGACTCCTTGGAGATCTATGGTTAGGCAGCTCTTTGTCACGGAATTACCTGTCATTGTATTCAGGCAAGAAGTGACAGCCCTAACCGAAGTCTTCTATCCAGAGAGGTATGACCCAGAGTACAGCAGCACAAGTTTTTTTTCCACCCCCCCACGCTCCTGCTGCCAAGCCTTAGCCTGGATTTGAAGATTCCCTTCCTAGGGCACCAATTCAGTTTCCGTGATCCATTCACTCCTTGCCTCTCCCAGACTGCAACCCCACAAGCAAAATCCGAGACATGAAACTGCCCAGAAGCCAAGGTTTTAAGGAGCGTGGATCTTTTTCCTTAACAGAGAAGTGGCTGATAAACTGCTGCAGAATCTCCCCCAGAGCCTTCACACCACCTCTCAAAGGCAGAACTTCTTCACTGGAAGCTCCTTACGTGGCACAAAATAATTCTTCTAAGAGCACTGCAGAGGTTTGCACTTGAACATCTACTTCGAGCGCTTATCTATAGCTTCTATTTTTATGCACGTCCTAGGTGCTGTGCCACCACTATACTAGCATGGGCAGCAGGAACAGACAGTGTGACTAGAAGCTATTACTTAAGCAAAAAGCTTCCCCTTAAACACTTGCAAGACAGCCATTTAAAACTTTAAGCAGCTTTCTACATAACCAACCAAATGCATAAGCAGTTAACAGCTCTTTACGTGGCAGGAAGAGGTTACAACAGCTCTGTACCTTTAAATAATAATAATTTCGGGCTAATATTTAAGCTTGAACTACTTCAGCTCAGGTGCGCTGCAGCAGCACCATGCTTCCCCCAACTCACCAGTACTGCGATGCAGTCTTCTGCAGGAGCACACTGAATATTTCAAGGAGTACAAAGAGAGGAATATAATTCCTGGTCTCTTTGGAGCCACGGTGCCTCTCTTCAAACATCAAGCATCTCATATATACCCGATACATCCCTTGCCAAGGAAAGCTTAGCTGCTTCAGAACCGCGGCAAAACAGCGTCTTCCCTGGCTGAACGGGGACAGGGCAATTGTTCGCCCAGCGTACCGCCCAGCCAACAGAACCGCAGCTCTCGGGGCTTACAGCTCAAACTGTGTCCCCGTTAGATTGCAGAGAGCATTCGTGCCCTGCCACAGCAGCCTGAAAAGATTAACTGCTGCAACCTATAACTGGTTTGTCTGTTGTTACAAGGGTGTCTGATCTCCCAGTACACTGGTTGTACGGGAAGAATTCTTCCGAGTCCACAGAAGATTTTTGAAAAGACAAAAGGGGTCATAACGGGGGGTAGGCTTAGAGAGCTCCAGAGAAGACTCTCACACTTGGAAAAAACAGCACCCAGAGTGGAAATAATACGGAAGCGTACATCCAGATGGATCGTGTCCTTTCGCCTGCTCTGTACTAGTTCTTAAAGCTCCAGCACCCTGCTAAACCCCACCTGAGAACAAGTGTTACCTGCTGGTGGGAAGAGCTGCCAACTGGCCCGTTCATCTGCTCATAGTATCTTCTCTCAGCATCGTCATACTTGTATTTCTCAAACCAGATCTTCTCATGCAAAAAGTAGTCGACTGCCATTTTTCTGCAGAAAGGAAAAAAAGAAAACCCAAAGTAAGTTCCTAGAAGTACTTAACAGCTTGCAATGAGCTTGTCAGAAGAGCGTTTTCTTCCCCCACGGAGCTGTGCCTGCAGCTCTCTGGTGGTTTCCCCTCCAGTGGAAAGCTTTAAGTAAATGGGATCCTATTAAGAAAGCAGGGCAGCCTAATCACCCACCCGTCTGCCTGGCCTGACCTGCATTTAGTGACGGGACACCAAGTGGGGACAGAACAAATCAGCTGATCTGGACCTTCTTCCACAAAAAAAGCTTTCAGAGCAGGATTTGCTAGATCACACTAGACACGCGCTGCTAAGAAAGATGTCTTGTGTATGAGAATCAAAAAGGGAATAATGCTTTTAATTCTTAAGACGCCTGGCCACGGTGAAACCAAAGACTGAAGAATACGCGGCTCCAAGCAGCCCGTGCCACGCATGCCAACGAGGGAGCACTCCGTATGCGACAGGCAATTCCTGACGCTGCAGCTCACACATTTCAACGCGTTTCCGTCTTCCTTGAACACGACTCAACTGCGTTGACAGCAACTGTTGGCTGTCTTCGGCAGGACACGTCTCTACCTGGTCACCCCATGCTTCACTAGGTGCACCACCGAATCCTCCTGTAAGGAACAGCCCGGCACAGCATACTGCCTGACACCGACCAGCTTCCAGGAATTCGGATACACACGCAAATGACAACGGCACCGCAGGTAACCGCACACATGCCCTTTTGGAAGCTGCTGCAACCGTTTAGAAATTAAAATCATCAGCAATGCAACACTTGCAAGGAACAGACACCTGGCACTACAGGGAGGAGGAGCATTAAACATCCTAACGCTGCTGTGAAATGCTGCTGTTTTTCTTCAGAGCAGCAGCTTCCAAAGGTTTAATTCCTTAACTTGAAGGGAAATGATGGAGCCCTTGCAACAGTAAGAGAAGAGGATGTGCCCTTATTTCAAGCCAGGGGACAGCTACAGGAGGTGGGGAGAGCAGGGATAGAGCATCACAACGAAACCACACCGTTACCAGGTTCCACCACACAACGCAGAGAGAGCAACTAAGAGCAACCCGCAAATCCTTTCCTTACCAGCTCAAAACCCCACAGCTCTCCAGTAAAACATTTCCGTGGAAGCCAACAGATGAGACTTTTGTAAAACAAGCACCCTTCTCATCTACCCCTTCAGAAGAGACCAGAGGCCACCACAGGTCCTCTGCATTGAAGCCATTCCCAACACTCAACCCTCCAAGACCCTGCTTGAGCTGCCAACCAGTATCGTTAATAGAGAATCCCAGTTACAGACAAACTTATGCCACATATTTTACAAGGACACCCTTGGGGAAGGGTGAAAGGCACAACCAAATATCTAGTTTTGTCCAACTAAAGAGAAAATTATCCCAAATAGGACAGGGTGAAAGGCATGGGTGCTCTAAAGCTTGTCTGTAACCCTCGGTGTCAACTTGACATGAAGATCTTAAAACTTTCCCACAAATCCTAAGAAACTCAAGGATCAAAAGTGTCAGAAATAAGGACTGACACTCCAAAGGCTCCAAGAGCCTTTTTTTTTTTTCCTAAGAACATCAGTCACTGCAAAATAACATCTAAGCACTGGCCTTCGGACAGGCTCCCAGGGCGTTACAGCCCTGGTTCAAGCAGTCATACATAAAAGCACAGTATCATACCGCACCTCATCCAGGACTGAAAAAGAAGCCTTTAAACGTTTTTCTGCAAACTGATTTATAACTGCAAGTTACAAACATGAAGGTCATGTACAATTTGAGAACACACTCTTCCTGCCCAGCTACCTCTGCACATCAGGTAAGCTGTAATCCAGCTAGCCCTATCCCAAAATTAACAGCAGCTTCCAGACCAAATGGTCGAACAAATTAGAAAGGCGACCTTCTCCCACAATGAAGCAAATATAGGACATGCTCACACCAGACTGACACCCTAAATTGTATTTCACTGTCATCCCCAAGCCTTCTTCAAGCTGGATGCTAGTAGGGATGCTCAAATGTAGTCATGGCTTGCAGAGGTCAATGACCAGCCTACGTGCTCTGCAGGAGAACTGGGGATAACCGCTCCTCTGAAGGACCTTGTGCTATTTTTAACAGAAATACACAGCAAATAACCACCACTAATTTCTCAAATTCAAAGATGAAGCACTGCATCCTCTGCAGGCCTGTTTAAAACACGTGGTTACTCCCTCCAACTTCTCACTTTTATGGCTTTTTGTATGTAGTAGGAACAGAGAAAGGGGCATCACCCCAGGCTTCCCCCATCTAAAGAGGGAGTCAAACCTTAGCTCACTTACCAGCCCTGACTTTAAATGCTTAACCTCTGGCACCACACAAATACCACCTTTAGCCACCAGCATTCACCAGGAGAAAGGGGGTTCCTTGAACAAGTCTCCCCCAGTTCCCCTGCCCACGAACAGGCTCCCTAGCTCAGGAGCAGCGTCTCCCTACAGCCGCACGCACGCTCGGTCCTGCGGACACAAAAGACGCCCATCTTCTACACATGCAAATTCTTTCAGCTCAATCCTGACCCGGCAGTTTTGCATGTGTGAGTGTTACCCCAGAATAAACTTCTCCTACTTCGTTTCTGGCGCAGGTACGCTTGAAGCATAAGCAGCTGGTTGGGAGGGTTTTACTACTGCGGATTCCTGCGTCTCCGTACTCTCTCCTGCTCTTGACATTTTCAGAGCCTCGGCTGCATAGTATCGCGACTCGGCACTGTCATATGTCGGCTTATTAAGCCACACAGTTTCGCTGTCCTCATGCAGAAAAAAGCAGGTAGGCGGAGGTTGCTCAGCATCACTGGGAAGCAGAGAGGTGGTGGCAATCTCCACGTGTTCGATGCCCGCTTGCTTTCCAACGGTGTGGTCCTTCCCGTCCTCGTGGTGGTTCTTCGATGCTTCGGGGCAGCCACGTTGCTGCTGTCTGACTTTGCCCGACGGATGACCATCAAACATGTTCTCGTAGAAGCTCTTCTCAGCATCGTCATAGAGAGGTTTCTCTAACCACACCTCTGACATGAGAGCCTGCAAGCTTGAAATCTGTGGCTTACCATTTACAGTCTGGTCTACAGAGCCAGGCAAACTGGTAACGAAGGAAGAAGCAGAATCGGCAACGACGTCTGGAGCTAAGCTTGGCGTAGCAGGGGTAGGCAGGGCTGTAACATAGCCCTCATCTGGCGTTCTCAGCCCAACGTTGCCAGCGTTTGACCACACAGACGGGATGGTTAGGACATTTGGAGGAACAAAGAACTGAGATTTTTCAATAAACACCTCCTCGGCCTTATCAAAATCAAACTTGTTGACCCAGACATCCTGAACAACATGGTGACATGCAGACAGACTACCGTGGGAGCAGGACAGGGCTGCTGAAAGCATCCTTGGCTTCGGAACATCTTGGACAGCTTTTGACCTGGCCACTAAAGGGGACTCCTCAGCGGTTAATGCAGTCTCAGGTGCCTCCTCGTTCTGACAATCCACCAGTTTTTTCCTGTACACGTTCTCAGCGTGATCATAGAAAGGCTTGTCAAACCACACGTGGTCAGCTAACAAACCGGTCAAAATAGAGTCTAACTTGGAGGCCATGTTTTTGGGTTTTGGAGAACGTTTCCGTTTCCTTTGTTTCTTTCCATTCCTTGCTCTCTTCAGGTCTCCCTTGAATTCACTTTCAACAGAGTCGTCATTGCAGACCCCATTTACAGCCTCTACCTCCTGGCACTCCTCAGGGGCCGCAGCAGCTAGCATCGCTTCTCTTTCGTAATGCAGTCTCTCTGCTTCATCGTATTTGTGCTTGTCTACCCACACTTTTTCTACTGGGCAGGGAGGCTTCCTTGTCCTCATCTTCCAAAGAGTGGCAGCATTAAAAGATAAGCACAACAATGTAGTTGCAACAAAACTAAATAAAGCAAGGGCATGCATCAGACTTCAGTAAAATCTTAAGTAATACAAGAACGTCAAAGCTATCATGCCGTTATTATTCATGGTAAAGAGCCTAAGCATTTAGTTCGATTTTTCCTTTGTTATAAATTTTCATCCAAAGAAATTAAACTGCCTAAACACATCCAGTTTCTGAAGCCAAAATAACCTTGCTCCTAAAGTACTTCTGCTGTTCTGAGAAGTATTCTGCACGTTACTATTTAAAAATAAAGGCACTGAAAGCACTTCAAATTTCACTTTTGAAGACAACTGGCAGGAAAAAAACAACGAGGTTTTGTTCAAATGCCTGGTCATGTATAAGATATTCATCCAAGTTAGTAGATTAGTCCTTAATTACTCATTAGGTATTCTCAACTAGGCACTGTTTTGGGAAGACAAGCTAAAAGACGCCCCAATTCTTGAGTATCTTTAGAGGTCACTGCTTACACCTATTCGTGTTTTGCTTCTAGAAAGCCAGCAGAGGGAGCTGACTGAAAAACGATGACTCAGTTTTGGTTTAAAACCCCAGTTACTGGCAAATTAAAATTGACCAAGAGCTGAAGATCTCATGATTTGTTTAGCTTACCAAAAAAAAAAATCTTCTATTGAAATGAAAAATATTGCATCTGCTTTGTGTTTTCCTGCCTTTGTCATACTTTACCAGAGGAAAAAAGAAAAAAATCAAGCCGCTCCTAATATGTGTAGATCATTGGAAATGGTATAGGAAATACTTTTTCAAGTACAGAATTTACTGTACTGCTTAAATATCTAATGAGTAGGTAATCACCCCTCTGCCAAACAACTACATGGTCAGATCCCTAGAGTTAAAAAACAAAACTCTGAAATGAAGTACCTGTAAGCCAGCTCTCTCTTTAGCTACCAACAGCTGCAAGTTTTAGAGCTACAAATTTATCTGTGACAGGTTGCCAAGTAAAATTCCTATACAGCTGAAATATCCTCCAGAGTTCAGTCGATGGCTTGCAGTTCCAACCATTCCTGGAAGATTTTACAAGCCTCAAGTCCGGGGCTTGACAGACCAGTAAAAACAAAAAACTATTAT